GCAGAAAGCTTGAGGATCGATGGGGAAGTGGTATCTGATTTCAGGAGCGGAAAATATTCCACTGAAGAAATTGAGTGTGTCTACCAAGATTTAAAAAAAAACAGATAGTATATATGGCTCTTATGGTCTACAAGTACCATTAAGACTCATCCAAGTTATATCAAGAAATGACAAATTTGGAAGAGGAAAATTGGCAACATCTCAAGAGGAAAAAAGTTTAATAGGAGGAAACGGAATTAATGTGCAAAGTTTTGCTTACAGAAATGAGAAAGCTTCAGTTTTGGTATGGCTGAGACAATGGATATGTCTGAGGAATAAAAGGCTTTTATATCTAGAAGGACATGACTTGCAGATGGGATGGCCTGCCTTTTTATGGTAAGGCAAAACTAACGCACACAAATACTTTCAAAATAACCTGATAAGAGACACTTTGCTAACTATATGGGGAAAAGTAAAAACCAGAATCTATATGAAAATACTAAGATGGGTCTCTCCATAGAAGCATCCAAATCTTATCATCTTTGAGAAAATAGTGACATATAATGAAATATTAAATCCAGAAGGAAATCTCAAAACCAAGGAAGAACTAGCAAGCCAAGGACTGATACTGTCATGGTTACTTTTATTGCAAATTCAATCAATATATAAAGGAGACTCTAGAACACAAGGTTTCTACAAGGAACAGCCAGAATTTGATAAAATATTACTCTCTACAGAAGATAAGCTAATTAAGAGTATAAATTCCTCTTGGAAGTGAAAATGGAAGATGAACAAGTAAAATAAACAATGATACATTGGGCTAAAAACTTTGGTCACACAATTCAGCTAGAAAAGTGGCAAAAGTTATGGAGTGATAATTGTAAATTAACCTTAGCAACCACATATAAAGAAAATGTATACAAAATGTTTTACAGATGGCATTTACCACCAACTAGAATAGCAAAAATGTTCCCAAATGTTCTCAATAGGTGTTGGAAATGTAAAAAAAAAAACATGAGGGAACATATCATGTATGGTGGATGTGTGAAAAAGCAAAAAAAAAAAAGGCTTGAAATACACTTTTGGATTTAAAAAAATTATGAAACTGAATATAGAACTCAAACCAGAGTTGTCTTTATTGGGTATTATGCCAGAGAATATTAATAAACAAGAGAGCTATATTATATTACATATATTGATGACGGCTAGAATACTATGGGCCCAATACTGGAAAAATGAGAAATCTCTGTTAGAATAAAAATTTTTACAAAAAAATCTCAGATTGTGCAGAGATGGATAGATTGACAATGACAATTGAAGAGAAAGAGAATTCGGAATATCATCAAAACTGGAATAAAATGTATGAGTGGCTAGAGAAAAGAAATAAAGTATAGAGACAAATGAGACATGATATATGAACAATTTGATGTATATGCAGTTAACATGACAAATGACAATGGAAATATGTTTTTTTAAAGAAATAAAATGAAAAAAAAAGAATGAGAAACTATAGCTTTGTTATGTGACTGTGAGCTAACTTGATTTGTACCTCTAAGTGGAATTAGACTGAAAATTGTAAAAAGGTTTTTGCACATGTGTGTATGTTCATAAATCATCTCTGCATTATTAATGCTTTAAGCAATATTTTGGAACAATCCCTTCTGTGGTGGGTTTTACTTTAGGAGGATGTTACCTATGAGCTGTGATCCAATTAAATCCTTCACAGCACCATAGGATATGGGGCCTTCCAGCAGCAGGGTTTTACACATCATCAGCACTTGGAATCAAAGCACCAGTCACACAATTGCACATTTTCAGAAGTCTGATTGCTGTTATTCCACAGACTCGCTAGGGTTCAGTGTGGGAGGAATATTTTGTTTCTGTGTATTATTTTTTTAAATACACAAAATTCATATATGAAAATTTTTTTATCATCTTTAAGAGTAACGAGGAATTTACAGTTATGTTAGTGATAATCAGTGATCAGACTAAAGCTTAGAAGGAAAAAAAGTGCTCCTTTATTGCAAGATAGTTTTAAAAAAAATGATCAGTCTGTGATGGTGCTTCAGAAGATGGGTACAGAAGCAGCCATTGAATTAAAGCAGCAATTCTTTGTATAACATTGGGGAAAAATAGAGAAGGGGCACCAACGTCAAACACAAGGGCAGGGAGAATAGGTACAAACAGTATGTAAAATCCTTCTTTGGAGGACAGTTTGAATATAAAGCTGTGGCCAGAGTGGTTGATATATTAAGGGACAAATGTGGAGAAAACGAAGGTAAAGCAGCTTACAATGACTCTCCATGATGTCAGGACAGTGAGGCAACATTTCTCTTACTCAGTGGGTGTTAAATGTGTTTACCAGTAATGGTTCAGACTTGAGAGTTATCTTTTCCTTTGCCTTCTGAATTTGCCAGTTCAACATAAGCCTTGGGATACTTGCTTAGATTTGGGACTTGTTAGGAAAAAGGTACTGTATCTGTGTTTATTCAGATACCCCTTGGTATCCTTGTTGCCCCTTGTTGCCATGCCATGCCTAGATGTTGCTGTTAAAGGTCAGAAAGTCAGAAACTGAAATCTTTTTGCCATGGCTTTCAGCCTTCATGGGGAAAACGTAGCAATCAGGAAAGAAAATGCAAGGGTGATACTTAAAGACAACATGGCTGAGCTTTGTGTGTAGAAAGTCCCAGCTTCAGTAACTATTATGCTGGAAAACACTCCCTTCAGAAATCACAGGGCAAGAAAGGATCTGCTAGTTATTAAAGACAATACTGAGACAGACAGAACAAATGATGGTCTGTATGGATATGAACTATCCACAAAATAACAACTGGATAGCCTGGGTGTAATTCTGGACCCATCTCTCTCTGGAGACTGGACTTAGTGGCTCAAAGTGTCCAGTTCAACTTTGATTCATTTCTCACCAACAACCACTGCTGGCCATGAGACAATCAGACCACAGCAGTTAATGCACTGTTAATGCAAATAGGTAACTTTATGTTTATGAACATATAAATTATACCTTATGTCTTTCTCCTCAAGAGAACCCAAGCTGGCTTACAATATTAAAAACTAAAAACAGGAAGGAGCAGGGACGAAAACAAAAAAGCTCAGCAGACTAACTCTTAGTCACTGAGAAAAAGCCAGCTTGAAAAGAAAGGGTTTTTAAATATATA